TGCATTCCAGCCTGGGTGACAGAGTGAGACCCTAAAAACAATAAAAATAAAAAGAGTATAAGCTAGGCCGGGTGCAGTGACTCATGCCTGCAATCCTAGCACTTTGGGAAGTTGAAGCAGGTGGATTGCTTGAGATCCAGGGTTTGAGACCAGCCTAGCCAACATGGTGAAACCCTGTCTCTATTAAAAACACAAAAATTAGCAGGTGTGATGGTGGACACCTGTAATCCCAACTACTCAGGAGGCTGAGGCAGAAAAATTGCTTGAACCTGGGTGGCAGAGGCTGCAGTGAATGAAACCGCGCCACTGCACTCTAGCCTGGGCAACAGAGCGAGACTCCGTCTTAAGGAAAAAACAGTGCATAAACTTTGTGGTCAGGCAAACCTTGGCCACTGACGCACATGAATCACGTTTTGAAGTCACAACCCCCCTAAGAGACAGGACTCTGATTAACTCCATTGCACAGGTGAGGAAAACAAAGCTGAGGCCAGGTCTAAGGCCATACTGCTGGTAAATGACTGAACCAGGGCTCCAACCCAGGTTTAACTCTAGAGCTCCTAACTGCTCTGAGACGCACGGACCTTGGTGGGGAAAATTCCAGATGTGATATGGACTGGCGCGGTCACACCTCCCAGGCGGGAAGCCACTCATGCCCTTTCCTACCACTCCTGGGCTGCAGTGGAGCTGACTGCCTGCTCCACTGCAACAAGCTATGGGTGGCCTGGCCTGGGTCTAGGGAGGCTGGTGGAGGCTGCCCTACACGAGGGAAGGGTCAATCCTGGAAGGCAGAGAGGGGCTGTTAGTGACTAGAACTGCAGGAAGAAGGAGCTAAATGACCACCCCTGCCCCCCGCCATCAGTTGATGCCATGGGGTTCATAGAAACAGAGAGGTCTCTAGAAAAATGCCAAAAAGACAGATCCTGGCTGGGCTCAATGGCTCATGCCTGTAATCCCAGCATTTTAGAGCATTGAGGTGGGAAGATTGCTTGAGCCCAGGAGTTGAAGACCAGCCTGGGCAATGGAGTGAGACCCTGTCTCTACCAAAAATTTTAAAAATTAGCTGGGCATGGTGGTGCATGTCTGTGATCCTATTTGGGAAGCTGAGGCAGGAGGATTGTGTAAACCCCAGAGGTTGAGGCTGTAAGAAGTTATGATTGCACCACTGCACTCCAGATCCTGTATCAAATAATAAATAAAGACATCCCAGAATTTGAGCTGGAAGCAGAGGCCAGGATCACCCCTAGTCTATGAGGAAGATCTATAGCTTCAGGTATCTGAAAGAAATTCTAGGCACTGCAAGGCTGGGCAGTATTCCCTGAATGTTCCACAGCAGGGTAACAGGGCATATGCCCAATGAGTGCAGGGGACCCAGCAGAGCATTGTCCACCTGCCCTGCCCTTTCAGGGATGACCTTGTCTATTCTAGAGAGAATAGACATCACAGAGCACCTTCTGAGCCCAGACCTGTCCATCCAAATGTCAATGTGGCATCTCTCATGGAGACTTTTTTTCTCTAGGCAGAGTCTTGCTCTGTTGCCCAGGCTGGAGTGCAATGGCGAGATCTCGGCTCACTGCAACCTCTGCCTCCTGGGTTCAAGCAATAGTCCCACCTCAGCCTCCTGAGTAGCTGGGATTACAGGCACGCACCTGTATTTTTGTATTTTTTAGTAGAGACAGGATTACAGGCACGCAGCTAGTTTTTGTATTTTTTAGTGGAGACAGGGTTTCACCATGTTGGCCAGGCTGGTCCCAAACTCCTGACCTCAGGTAATCTGCCTGCCTCGGCCTCCCAAAGTGTTAGGATTATAGGCATGAGCCACCGCACCCAGCTTCTCATGGATACTTAATAGATGTCTTACAGTTCACATGTGTGAGTTAGAGATCAAGCTCTCCAGCCCAAGCATGTGCTTCTTCCAATCTTCCCTATCTCATTAACTGGCAGCTGCATCTACTCTGCCACTCCTGCCAGAAACCTAAGGCATCCATTCATTTGTTCACTTATCAAGTGGTCTGTGAGTACCGCTGTGTGCCAGGCAATACATCTAATCAGCAAGAGTGTCTGGTATGTAAATGTCTCTTCAAATAATTTATAGCATCTCTTTCTCACCTCCCAGAATCTACTCATCCCCAATACCATTCTCTCCTACTTTCAAAACATAACAAACCCATGCATTTTTCCTCGTTTTTAGTGCTATCGCCCTCATCTGAACCACCATCACTTCTGCCTAGTTAGAGCAAAACCCTCCAGTTTTGCATCCCCATCACCCATTCTTGCTTCCTTTTTATTTTATTTTATTTTGTTTTAATGTATTTAATTTTTAGAGACAGGGTCTTTTTCCCTTGCCCAGGCTGGAGTGCAATGGTGTCATCATAGCTCACTGTGGCCTCAAACTCTCAAACATCTGTGCTCACGGGATCCTCCCACCTCAGCCTCCCAAGTAATTGGGATCACAGCTGCATGTCACCATGCCCAGCTAATTTTTTTTTTTTTAAGACAGGGTCTTACTCTGTGGCCTGAGCTGAAGTACAGTGATACAAACACAGCTCACTGCAGTCTCGACCCCATGGGCTCAAGCAATCTCTGCACAGCTTTGAGATTACAGGCATGAGCCACCATGCCTGCCCTCCGGCTTTCTATTTTGTAATTTTCGTAGAGACGGGATCTTGCTATGTTGCCCAGGCTGGTCTCAAACTCCTGGCCTCAAGCAATCTTCCTAATTTAGCCTCCCAAAGCACTGGGATTACAGGCATGAGCCACTGCATCTGGCCTTCCTTCCTTTTAATTCACCCCTCACATGGAAGCTAGAGAAATCATTTATTTATTTATTTAGAGACAGAGTCTCACTCTGTTGCCAGACACCAGGCTGGAGTGCAATCTCAGCTCACTGCAACCTCCACCTCCCGGGTTCAAGCGATTCTCCTGCCTCAGCCTCCTGAGTGACTGGGACTACAGGCACACGCCACCATGCCCAGCTATGTTTTGTATTTTTAGTAGAGACAGGATTTCACCATGTTGGCCAGGGTGGACTCCATCTCTTGACCTCGTGATCTGCCTGCCTCGGCCTCCCAAAGTGCTGGGATTATAGACGTGAGCCACCGCGCCCCGCCTCAGAAATCTTTAAATATGAATCAGATCAGATCATTTTCCTGCTAAAACATCTCCATGCTGCTGAGCTGCTTTGTTGCACTGCAAACCCCACCACACACTAGCATTCATTTTACTCCTGGAACACGATTTCTGGACTCAGGGTCTTTGCCATTCTGTTCCCTCTGCCTGGGATACTCTTTGCACTATTTGCTGGACAAGCTCCTACTTGTCCTTTAGATGTCAGCCTGTTATACATCCCTAAAGGAGCCCCCTCTTGGCCTCAATATAAAAATTGGGTCCCCAAGTTATTCACTCTCATGGCAAACACAACTTCTCATCACAGTTTAATTAAGTGTGTGTGATCCTCTGATTATCCCTTTGTCTGCACTACACAGCAAGCCCCATGAAGGCAGGGACCATGTCTCTGTCACTCTGTTGTGTCCCCAAAACAGGCATGCAATAAATGTTGGTACAACAAACAAATGTGGGATTTTAGAGCCTGTGCTATAGAACCTTTGTACACCGTGACCCCCCAAAAAAAGGGACGGCATTTTTCCAAGTACTATCTGCAGAGTGTCCGATGGGCTAGCATATTGCCTAGAATAATTCAGCAAAATTTGAAAACCACTGATTGGTGGGGTGCAGTGACTCATGCCTGTAATCCCAGCACTTTGCAAGGCCAAGGTGAGAGAATCACTTGAGTTCAGGAGTTTGAGACCAGCCAAGGCAACACAGAGAGACCTCATTTGTAGAAAAAATAAAAAAGTTAGCAGGGCATGGTGGTGTGCCTGTAATCCCAGCTACTCAGGAGGCTAAGGCGGGAAGATCACTTGAGCCCAGGAGTGCAAGGATGTAGTGAGCTATGATCGCACTACTACATTTCAGTCTGGGCAACAGAGCAAGACGCTGTGAAAGAAAATACAGAAAGAAAAGAAGAGAGAGAGGGAGAGAGAGAGAGAAAAAAAAAAAAGAAAAGAGAGACAGAGAGAGGAAAGAAGGAAGGAAGGAGAAAGAAGGAAGGAAAAAAGAAAGGAAAGAAACAAGGAAGGAGGGAAGAAGGAATAAAGAAAGGAAAGAAGGAAGAAAGAAATAAAAAGAAAGAAAAAAGAGGTGGGAGGGAAGGAAGGAAGGAAAGAAGGAAAGAAAGAGAAAAAGGAAGAAAAAAGGAAAGAAGGGAAGAAAGAAGGAAAGAAAGAAAAGGAAAGAGGAAAGAAAGAAAATAATAAAAAGAAAGAGAAAGAAAAATACTGATACTGTAGTAAGCTCATGGCCACAGGAATTGAGTCTCAGCTTGGCCACTCACTATCTGTATTACCTTGAGCAAGTTATTTAATGGCCCTTAGACTCCATCTGTGAATTGGGGGTGGCCGTGCCTACCTTCCTGGGTTTCTGTGTCAGTTAGATGAGATCTGGATGTAAAGCTCTCTGCATGAGTCTGACACGTACCAGTGAGGACTTGTATTTGCCTTGCAGTTAATAGCAGCTGCAGTTGTAGTAAATACATTTCTCTTGCTTTTTGCTGCTTATGTGGATATATTTACCTTGATTATCTCTGAGTAACACACCTGTGGGGTTAGGCCAGCCTGAGGTTCGTATTCCCATTTGACAGATAAGGAACCTGAGACTCGGGGAGGCAAAATGTTTGGCTTAATGTGTCTGACCTTGGTTACGTGGAAGAGCTGGATCTCACGTACAGTGCTGCCGGCTGCCAGCTGGTGGCTTCATACCAATGTCCCCCCACCAACCCAAACACACTCCATTGTCCTGGTAGGTGACAAGCTTTCTCTGCAGAGAGGGCTGAGCTTCCCTTGCCCCACAGGTCACAGCTGGAGTCCTTCTGACAGCACCTGTTCCCAGACCAACTTCCCAGTTTGAAGAGTGGGTACCTGCCTGGGGGCAGGGGGATGTCTTACCTTAGTTCAGATGCAGGGCTCACCTGCCCTGGAGGCTGTCAGTGGCTTCTAAGGTGCCAGGAGGTGGTGGTGGCTGTAAGGAGGGAGACACTGGAGGGAGACACTCCAAGAGCTTCAAGAGATAGCAGTGACCCTTCCTCCTGTATCCCTGCTGCTGAGAGAGCCTCCAAGCGGGTCAAACTCCAAACTCCAGCTTAGTTCTGGTGGGGAATTAAAGGAAATGTGAATGATCTCCCCCGGGTCAGAAGAGAGGCTGGGGCCCAGCCCAGGACCCTTGAACTCTGACCAGGTGGGGAAGGTGACATGCCCCACACTCTGCCCACACCATCCTCCACCAGGCCCCTCACCTGGGGAGTGGGGACCCACAGCGTGGAGAGGTTAGGGGATGATGGAGCCCAGGCACCATCCTGCTTCACTCACCAGCTCTTCCACTGTCCCGCCTCCTCTCTGGGGACAGGCAGGCTTGGGACGAGCTCGGGGAACGGGGGGAGGAAAAATGCTGGCGGGGGATGCAGGGGACAGAGGCAAAGTGCCAGGAGGGACGTCCAGCCACAGCCCTCACCGCAGCGGCAGCAACAGGAACAGCAAGCACTGCTTGAGCCACCCCTTTCCATGCGCTCCTCCAGACAGAGGCACGGCAAAGAAGAGGTGTCTGAGGCCCTGAAAAACTGTCAGGAGTGACTGAGCCATGGTCAGGAGCCACATTGGCCTCAGGACATCAGGAAAGCAGCGGAGCACAGCGAAGGGATTCTGCTGGAGGCTCAAAACATCCAAAACTCATTTTTTTTTTCTTTTGAGACAGGATCTCACTCTGTCACCCAGGCTGGAGTGCAGTGGTGTGATCACAGCTTCCTGCACTTTTCCTGTTGCTGCCACTGTGGTGAGGGCTGTGGCTGGATGTCCCTCCTGGCACGTTACCTATGGCTGTCATGATCACAGCTTACTGCAGGCTCAACCTCCTGGGCTCAAATGATCCTCCCACCTCAGCTTCCCGAGTAACCGGGACTACAGGCATGCACCACCACACCCAGCTAATCTTTTCATTTTTTTGGTAGAGACAGACTTGCTATATTGCCGAGGCTGGCCGAGAACTCCTGGGTTTAAGTGATTCTCCCACCTTGGCCTCCCCTTCTCACTCCTTCACTGCACCTGCCAGATTCTGGGGGCCCTCAGCTGAGGTCCCTGTCCCGGCATCAAGTAGCCAGAAATAAAAGCAGTGATGCACACGTGCCAGGCTCTGTTCTAAGTGCACGACGTGCCTTTACTCACTTGATCTTTCCAACAACCCTCAAAGATGGGTCCTGTTTCCTCTACTGCACTGCCTCTCCTTCTTTCCTTCCACTGATCAGTTTCTGACAGTCTACACTTGTGGCTCCCTGTGGGATGCACCCAACCTCCCTGGAGGGTAGGCATTCACTGCACAGCTGCTGGGACAGTGTGGCAGATAGGAGAATTGCTTAAACCCAGAAGGTGGAAGCCAGGATTGTGACACTGCGCTCCAGCCCGGGTGAGACAGAGTGAGACTATCTAAAAAAAAAAAAAAAAAAAAAGGTAGCTGACAAAGAGTACAGTTCTTATGATTTCATTTACATGAGGTTCAAGAACAGGAAAAATGGATTTGTGGTGACAGAAGACAGAGAGCAGGGCCCAGTGATCAACTGGAAGAGGGTGGGAATGTGCTCTCAGAGGTGATGGAAATTTCTATTATCTTGAATTGGGTAGTAATTATGTGGTATATACAATTGGCGAAACCCATTGAATTAAATGATTAAGATTTATGCTTTTTTTTTTAGATGAAGTGTCACTCTGTCACCCAGGCTGGAGTGCAATGGTGCCATCTCAGCTCACTGCAACCTCTGTCTCCTGGGTTCAAGTGATTCTCACCCTCCCAAAGTGCTGGGGTTACAGGCGTGAGCCAACCCCCCCCACCCCCCTCCGCTGACTCAAGCATTTTATTGTATGTAAATTATACCTTTAAAAGTGAGAGCAAATGGCTGGGTGGGGTGGCTAATGCCTATAATCCTAGCACTTTGGGAGGCTGAGGTGGATGAATCCCGAGGTCAAGAGATCGAGACCATCCTTGGCAAACATGGTGAAACCCCGACTCTACTAAAAATACAAAAATTAGCTGGGCATGGTGGTGCACACCTGTAGTCCCAGCTACTAGGGAGCCTGAGGCAGGCGAATCGCTTGAATCCTGGAGGCGGAGGTTGCAGTGAGCCGAGATCATCAACATTCCAGCCTGGAGACAGAGCAAGACTCCGTCTCAAAAAAAAAGAGAGAGAGAGAGAGAGAGAGAGAGAGAGAGAGAGAGAGAGAGAGAGACAGCAAGCAAATATACAAGCAGTGAGTTTATATAGAGCAAATAGTTATTGCAAGTCTGTCTCCCAGATTTTAGTTCCAGCCCTTTGTTACCACATAAGAAAGTAGGTCTTATGTTGCCAGCCTTCCTTTTTCAAGAGAAACCTCAAAGTCTGGGTTTTCTTTTCCTTTCTTTCTTTCTTTTCCTTTCTTTCTTTCTTTTCTTTTCTTTCTTCTTCTTTTTTTTTTTTAAATAGGAACTCTGATGACTTATAAGGTTTGACAAATTCAAAAACAACAAAATTAGTTAAAATGCTGGGTGAGTCAAAGGATGTACAGGGCTCTGTTTGGAACCGATATCCCTAAGTCACCCGTTCTCCTAGTCAGTTGAAGATGTGATTTCCTCCTGGATTTTCTACAGCCTTTTAAAAGCAGGCCTTCACCCACCCACATCCCTAACAACCCAAATGTTGCTATTTGTTGCAAGAATTGAAAAGAGTAAACCCTCAAAGCTGAAATAGATAAACTTTCCTAGGCAACATGCACGCCTGAGAGTCCCTGTTAAGACAAGATACATTTTTTGACTTAGTAACAATGGGACCTTGGGAAAGTCACTCAGCCTCTTTGAGCAATCAATTTCCTCCCTCCCTCTCCCAAAATGATACAATCCCCCAAGTTAATCATAAGCTGCCTACCTAGCATTTAGCTGACACTGAGAATTTCAAGGTTTATTCTTTGTCTTTAGGGTGGCTTCAAAGAGGGAAAACTGTACTTTCTTTTGTTTTTTTTTTTTTTTTTTTTTTTTTTTTTTTTTTTTTTTTTTTTTTTTTTTTTTTTTTTTTTTTTTTTTTTTTTTTTTTTTTTGTTTTGTTCGTTTCTGTATCTCTGTAGTGTCACAGTTCTCACAAACCTGGGTTGCTTTCATCCACAGTAGTGCAGGAGCATGTGTGGGTTAAGAACTCAGAGATGGGGCTGGGTGTGGTGGCTGACACCTGTAATCCCAGCATCTTGGGAGGCCGAGGCGGGCAGATCACTTGAGCTCAGGACTTCGAAACCGGCCTGGGCAACATGATGAAACACTGTTTCTACAAAAATTAGAAAAAATATAACTGGGTGTGGTGGTATACACTTATAGTCCCAGCTACTTGGGGGGCTGAGTGTAAGGATCACTTGAACCCAGGAGGTCGAGGCTGCAGTGAGCTGTGATCACGCCACCGCACTTCTCCAGCCTGAGTGACAGAGTAAGACTGTCAAAAACAAAAAACAAAAAAAATTCAAATTCAGAGGGGAGTCAGGTAGACCCACGTCCTCATTCCAGTTCCCCGCCTCCTAAATGTGTATTCTCAGGCAAATGATTTTTCTCATCTGAAAAAAAAGATGTCGTAATAGTAGTACTTAGCTATTTTATTGGGAGGATTCAATGTGATAACACATACAATGTTCTTCTTCTCCCTCTTCCGTTCTCCTCCTCCTTCTGTTTTTCCTCCTTCTCCTCTTCCTTCTTCTTCTTCTTTCTTCTTCTTCTTTTTTTCTTTTTTTTGAAGTGAGTCTCACTCTGTCGCGCAGGCTGGAGTGCAGTGGTGCTATCTCAGCTCACTGCAACCTCGGCCTCCTGGGTTCAAGCAATTCTGCCTCAGCCTCCCAAGTAGCTTGGAGTATAGGCGCCCGTCACCATGCCTGGCTAATTCTTGTATTTTTAGTAGACACGGGGTTTCACCATGTTGGCCAGGCTTGTCTCAAACTTCTGACCTCAGGTGATCCACCCACCTCACCTCCTAAAGTGCTCACTGCCTAAAGGTGTGAGCCACTGTGCCTGGTCCTCTTCTTAATACTAAGTTGTTGTTTTTTTTTTCCTCTCTATTCATGAAAGTCTAGTGTAGTTTTCCAGAGACTAAGTGACATGAGCTGCAGTAACAGACTGAATACAGAAGCAAATGCAAGACTCCAGCTGTCTTAAACCAGGCATTAAAGAGATTTGCAGAAACAAAATGATGCCACTCTTTCCACTAAATCTTTTGGAAAAATATGAGATTTTTTAAAAATAAAAAATTATTTAACATGCAGTGGGTTGATTATTCTTTAAAAAAGCAGGACATGGGCCAGGCATGGTGGCTCATGCCTGTATCCCAGGACTTTGGGAGGCCAAGGTGGGGTAGATCACCTAAGGTCAGGAGTTCAAGACCAGCCTGGCCAACATGGTGAAACTCCGTCTCTACTAAAAATACAAAAATTAGCTGGGCATGGTGGTGGGTGTCTGTAATCCTAGCTACTCAGGAGGCTGAGGTAGGGGAATCACTGGAACCCAGGAGGCAGAGGTTGCAGTGAGTTGAGGTCATGCCACCGCACTCCAGCCTGGGTGACAGAAGGAGACTCACCTCAAAAACTAAAAATAAAAAAATAAAGCAGTACATATTTAAAATTGTTTCTTAATTTAAATGTCTAATCTGGTAAATATCTATAGCTATAGTCCAAGCTCCTTGAGTCCCTCGGTGTTAGGGGGCCTTGAGACCAGTTTTAGAACTTCTGTTCTATGGCCAACTTGTATGAGCCTGTGCATCTAGGAGAACTCTTGTAAATGTTATGTCTAAACCCAAAGCCACATAATCTGTTAAAAGGTGTCTTCTGATGAAAATAGACCCTTACTGGAAAACCTATTTATGGCAGTAGATTCTGTTGGGGTACAAGCTGTTTATATCTCAATAGAGCTTGCTGGTTAGTGTATAGTAGATTGTTAATTAATCAACAATTAATCACTCTTTTAAAATTAATCACTAAACACTTTAACAGTAGGTCAACCACGGCAGAGAGGTTAAAATTTGGAGTGTGACTTGAAGACGCGGGAGATTGCTGGAGTGGAACAAGATCCTACAGAAGACAGTTGACCAAAACTTCCACCAGCACAGAGCTGGGTTACAGCAGGTGGTTTTACTGATGACCTACTGCCACGGGCATTGGTGGCGAGTTCCAGCATGGGGACAGTTGTGTGGCATGTAGGTAGGTACCTGGGCTCTGCCTCCAGTTTTTAGCTAAATCCTGGCTCTACTGACTTTGTGACTTATGGTAAGTGTCCCCATTCACTGCTCTGTGCCTCAGTCTACCCATTTGTCAAATAATTAGGGCTGTTGTAAGGATAAAATAAAATAATGATCTGGGGTGGGAAATGGCCAGCCAAACCTGCCCTTCTCCCTTACTGGGCACAAGGCTGACTATACTGGGCAGCCCTGAATTCTGTCTAGCTGTGGCTAGCTCTTGCCAATGGAACTAAAGGGAATGTGATCC